AGTAAACTTCAAAATCCGATGCGCTTGTCGGCGCGAGGTTATATACCGGGTACGGGGCTGTAACCGGTTCGTGCTTCCGGTGCCGGGTTCCATGCATGCGAAGTTGGTCGTGTCGGTCGACTCGCGGCTCGGGAACACCCTTAACGCGGTTCTAAATATTCCGACTGGATTTTTCGGGTGTTCCAAAGCACGAGAAACGGGGCACAATTAAAGATGCTTCTTCGTTCGAAATAATAGACACAGAGGGTACGAATATTTATGGGATTGACTGTATATCAACATTTTACCAACAAAGCTCAATGCAAGAATTTCTCAATTACCTAAGACACAGGTTCCCCTTCCATCAAAATATCCCTTCGCATCGAGTCCTAAACCAGGTTCATACTGAAATGCCTGTAACGACAAGAGAACCTCCCTCGAGTCGTCGATGGGGTTTCTGGAGTCTTCTTTCCCCGTTCCCGAACTTCCTCAGCTGGTAAAGGGATTGTCGAGTAAGTCTGCAGGTGACTGGGACCGCGATGATGCACGGCGGCGTGTTCCAAGGCGCACGCAGCGCGTAATCCGTGAAAGCAGTCGAGCGATGAAAGCGACCGAAGACGGAGGCGGCGAGGGACGGACGGCTGCACGCGTCTCTGCCAGATAGAAACAGAGAAGCCAGTTAATTTAACCCCGAATTAAAAGCGCGGCTTAAATGACCTATTCAGCGCTTAGTGAGCGCGAATTTGCCTCCCCAAACCGAGGAACTTGCGGAGGAGGACGAGGGTAGGGAAGACGGCCGTTGCACGCGTCTACGTTAAGCGTCGACGAGCTGTCGTCCTTGCGGGACTCCGCCTCTGGGCTTCCTTCGATTCTTTCTTCAGAGTTTCATTGCCAGGAGTCCTCTCCTGCCCGTCATAACTAAATGAAATCCATTAGGAGATGGGAGATGGAACGTCTCGCTACGAGAGTCTGCACAGACCCGCGCGAAAGGGAGATCAAGGGCCAGCAGACGTTGTCGACCGTAATGAAAAATCATTACGATATCCATAGACGAACACGGAGCAAGCCGCCGGCCACAGAAGCCCGGGGGCTGCCCATGCACGGTTCTGCTCAGAATGGGTTTGATTAGGAACAGCAACTGGAAGTTTACGTCTGTTTCCGTGGAGCCTGTTAGGCTGGTCGAAATTCATCGCGCGAGCCGGTTCTCGATGGCCCTGAAGGGAGATCTGGATAGAACTCGGCTCGTCTTGTGTAACTCTGATATTCAATCCTAACTACTAATTGTTGCGCCGTCGTGAATTTCCCGAGCAGATCGCATGGCGTCGTGGACGCTGGCTTGGAAGACCTGAAGCTAACTCAACAATATATCCACCGTAGAGTTACTCTCTAATTGCAGATATACGATTGTATATATGACAGATGTGTGTTGATCTCGGTAATTTTAGTATTACACGGGCCACTTTGATGTCTCGATGATAATGCTCTACATCCCCTGGCATCGGCTGCCTTTCATACGTCGTGGATGTCTGACGCTGCATTGTCAGTTATTACCCGAACAGAGTAACGTTGTACAATTGGCCCTTTTCCTGGTAGCCAGCTCATCAACACCAGCGATGAACGAGAATTCGATGGAAGCGTCGTTTCTTTTAGCCTTTATTGCGACGGACTCGCGGGTAATCCGTGAAAAACAACAAACAGAAGCACGCACCCAGAGGATAGAGAAGCCCTTCGGCGAACACGTGCGCCAGTGCTCGAAGGGTCGCCAGTCCACAAAGCGCTTTATGGTCCGTTATACAACCGCAAGCTCGCGATACCATGTTTAGCACGGGTGCGCGATCACGAACACGACTAGCCTGTTCCAGGTGCATTCAGCGTCGCAGTGCTTCTCATGCAACACGCGCTTTACGACTATTTGTACTGGCCGGCATGATTCGTCGAACGACAGGCTTTATACTTTCCTTTGAAACGTCGGATAACGTTGCCACTGCCAGCAATTGTTCGCAATTGCCAGTCTGCGTTGTTCTGTTTGCTCTGACCGGTTCTCCCAACCTGCTCGTTGCATCTGTTTTTTCAGTTTAGTAGTACTACCTGTGAACGAATCTCTGAAATGGATCCTCTTTCTATGATCGTATTTCGATAGCCTTGACTACGTTTCTCTGAGATATCTTTCATTCGTATCCTCGCTTGTAGATTCTTCCTGATTATTGTCAAAAAATTCCGTTCAATTTAATTACCGAACACTCCTTTCACAGGTTCATTCGAATCAAAATTTCAAATAGCCCACCTTACTCTACATTGTCCAATATTTTTATCATCTGTTACTCGAATCTTCAAGCTTTCGCAAGCTCTGTATCCAAATCCGTCTAACATTTTGTACCGAAATCACCTCCCAATTTCTTCAATTTTCAATTGCTACATCCAACCCTCGTAACCCCTCCGATCCCATATTGTTCCTGGGTTGTCACGGTCCTACTCCCATGTAACGAGAAGAGAGCCCGCGAAGAGTGTCGACACTGGATGCGCGCTAAGAGCACCGTTAAGTGTGGTCGCGCGCAATGCCTGACGGACGACGGGCATTAGGTAAATTGAAATCTCGCCGGCGGAGAAGACAGATGCCCAGTTTAGGTTTCGTGTCCAGACTCGGGTCGACGCGATGGTTTCACCTCTCGCACCGTGAAACCCAGAAATGGCCACGAACCTTTCCGCGGAGGTGGCTGCAAGGTTCCCTGAAACCAGAGCCCGTGTCTCTGCGGCTCCTCGTTTAACAGCCTTTGCTTCCTGTTTTCGATGTAACTGGCTCTTTGCCCTCGCCGGGGATGATCTTTCCTAGTCGAGCTAATCTCGTTTCCCTTCGTCTTTGCGTTTCGTTATGCCAAGGCTGGAGCTCAACATTTTGAGGGAACCAATTAAGTTGGTTGTTTGAGATCTCTTAATGCTTCAATGCATTATTCTGTAGCATAAAAAGTCCCATGGGTATTGAGAAAGTAACGTGCAATTTTTTGGTTCTCTGAGAATGTGATCACATGTGCTCGAACCTTGGCGAACGTTGGCACATGTGTAGCGATGTATCGATGACCCATCTACCAGTTCTTCAAAAATCGAGACTATCCCCAAGATTCTTCCTATCCTCGAGATAAAGAACCCTTCAGCAGCGCGATAATTCACAAGAAACATCAGGGAGGTGCGGGGGGGGGGGGGGGGAGGCGCAGAGAGGCCAGACAAATTTTCCTCGCCGGTAAAAAGACAAGGCGGAGGAATTTCTCGTTAAGGATACCTCTATTACAGTGGGAACAGGTAGATCCTGGTTCCATCCACGTCCCCGCGGAAAGTTCTCGACGGAAGGTGGAACGTAGAAGAAGCACGATTTGCGGTGCGCCGTCAATCTCGCCTTCCATCTTTCGAGGTGTACCCGGTGTACACCAGCGAACACGGCACACCGACGTGGCCGCGGCCACGTCTACGCTTTCTGTCGGTACGCCGTTCGGCAAAGTAGTTTACCCTTCAAGTTTTAATTATCTAATTAACTCCGTCAGATCGATAATATTTGCCTGTGTAATTAAACCGCCAACTAAGGTTAACAACTTGCGCCCGCGCTTCCAATAGTAGGTCGCCGAGGTGAATGAGCGAGAGGGGAACGAGAACCCGATATCTGTCTGTATTATTATGACAGCGGATCCGCGGAGGGGGCTTGAGGGGAAGGTCCCGTGGATATAACGAGCGAATTAATTGCTCTCGTAATTTTTGGCCAAACACGACCTGATTGGAATAATACTCTAATGATAACCAAGCTAGTACTTTGATGTTTCTTCATTTAGAGGTAGATGGGTCATCGACACATTGATACACATCTCGCATTCCCAGAGTACGAAGGAATTCTTCACGTTACTTCTCAGAATCTTGGTACTTCTTGTGTTACAAAACGATGCATGGGGAGCGATTCGAGATTGTAATACTCGATAGCAGGGGAGGTATTGACTCCTGTCACTCTGTCTAAACACAGCTTCCATGTAGCAGACATTTAGTAAAGGGAATCCTAGCCAAGGATTTCTAGACCTCCCGCAGCAATGCAACGGTTTCCCCATGAGAAACTTCTGCAGTTGGGCTAAAACTCGAAGAACGTTCAGAAATACGCGCCCCTATCGAGAAAGGTGCGAATGTATGCGCGATGGAGCCGGCACGGGAACGGTAGGCAGAGCCAGGTCTCCATTCGTTAAAGTTTACATTGAGAAAAGCTCTCGGGGTGCAGCTACGGCAAAGCTGGTCTGAACAAACAATTGCAACGAGCTCCCAACTAATCTGGCGTTCCGACGAGCGGCAGCCAACCGTGGGGGTGGAAAAGAGAGATCGGTGGGATAGGGGTCGCTGGAAAGCGGGGCGCGAATCGAAGTAGAATATCAACATGGCTTCTCGAACTCCGCTGTACTCGATGGTAACTCTCCGGAACTGAGGCGAAATCGTAAACAATTTCTTTCTATTTATTCGGCCCAGTTTATCGCAATCAGTTCAGTGACTTGTTTTACGGATTAGGTGTTGGTACCACGGAAATTAGGGCTGGAGCACGATTAGAGTTTGACGTGGTGTTACAAGATATTTCAGTTTTTCCATTGTCAACTTTGAACAGCTGCAAATATACGAATGAGGTGACAGATTTACATGGATCTTCACACGTGTTCATCAAACAGTAGTACCATCTTTAAAAAAAAATAAAACGACGGACCTAATAGCGCTGTCTCTTATCGAACGACAAAACTTGTTGAACAACCTATTACGTAGTAGTATATTTATATTATATACATTATAGTATATAATAGTACGTACATTCATGTCTCTTAGGTTTTACGTTACCGATGAAACTTAAACAAATATTGCAAGGCTCGGGAGTCTCCACGCTTCGTATCAACAATTTCGTAGCTTATTTGAATGAGATCCACCGCAAAACGAATCCAAGCTCCGCCATGTGTGGAGCTTGTCAGCGTCGGAAGTGCAGTCGCTTGACCATCGGTGTCATCTTTCTGTTGCAGGCACAAGCGGAAAGTGCAGAACCTGTTACCGTGCAAGAGCGCAGCAGGAGCAGCGGCGGCGGCCGCGGCCGCAGCCGCGGCTGGCGGCAGGAATCGCGTGTTGGGCGACGGGCAGCCGCACGCCGGCACCGGAAGCGCGGGTGGCGCGGTGCTGTACGAGGACCTGCCGGAACCCGTGACGCACTCGCAGCTGCACAATCACCTGCCCAGCCACCACCCTGGCCAGGCGCCGACGATCGAGGTACGAAATCCCGATCATCGACACAGCCTAAGGGAACGACAGCCGCAGCAGTTGCAACGCTCGCGGCCTCCCGTGCCGCATCATCTCGACTATCTCGACTACCGGGACCCGAGGGCGATACTGCGCGTCCAGGATAAGCCCTCGAGGGCGGTCTTAGGGGGCTATAGAACGCCGCGAGCCCTTCTCGCCAAGTCTCAGGAAGTCCCGCTCTCGATAGCCACCCACTCGCCTCCTCGGTGCACCGCCGCGACCAGTCCCCTCCTGAGGAGCGGCGGAAACGTTCTGAGGAACAGCCACTTGCTGTTGGCCAGTCAGAACGCTCTGATCACGAGTCGGCAACCCCTGCATCCGACACCTCTGCCCATAGACATCCCCGATGTCCCTTGCATCCCAACCCGTACGGGCGCCGAGGTCCTCCTGACCGACGACAAGTATCTCAACGACGGCTGCGTCTCCGGTCGTATAGATTCACGGATGCCCATCACGCCGACGCATCGGCCCAGAGCCTCCCAATCGAACGAGAAACCTCGATGCACCGCGATTCAGCAATCGGCGCAGAGACTCCTGCATAGAGAGGAGAACGGCAGGAGGCCTTCGGTCGATTCCGAGGGGTACTCGTATATTGACTTCAAGGACACAGAGCTGGAGTCCGCGAGATACGATTCGAACGACCATCGTCAGGATAACAACGCGACGGGGCTGAGAATCTCGTCGCTGAGGTTATTCCGGTCCTCGTCGTCGGTCAGATCGAACTCGATCGATTCGGACGGGTACTCGTACATCGTGGACTCTAGGAGGGCACCGGGCACCGCCAGGAGGATCGTGGCCGAGGGCACCGAGGAGGAGGTGTGTCCGTTGTGCACGATGCAGCAGATACACAGCCTCCTCAGCAAGCCCGAAGACATCTATTTGAACGTGCAGACCACGTGACACATGTCCTTCGCGGGCGACATATTCTCGTAGAGACTGGCCTGTCTCGTGTGTCCATCCCTGATCGGGAGCTCCAGGTGTCTCAGGGACTCTTGGAGCCGTGAAAGGGACAGAGGACGGTTCACATATCCCGTGATATCGTCGGCCACGATCGCTCCCAGCTCGTGGCCCTCGCGTTTCGGTGCGAACTCGACGTACAGTAGAACTCCGTTTATATGAACCAATCCGGGGGACGAAGGTTCATATAACGGGAGTCAAATTATCCCCGCTACTTGCAACTTTTCGTTCGAACAACCGGAGTTCGTCAGATAAGTGAATTTAATCATACTTTTTTTTTTGCTAATTTATGAACTGGGAAATCTGCGAGGACGGTAGCTCGACGAAGCTTCCTAATCGAACAATTTATTTGGTTAAAGATTAAAGGTAATTATCATTTAACGAACTTAAAATATTAACTGCAAAGTACGTTACGTTGAAACATTAATAACTTTCATTCAAAGACTTTACTGATTCTTCGTAGCTTTCATTAATTAGTTCAATTTTTTTCCAGCTGTGATTTCGGTTGTAACTGCATTAACCCTTTGCACTCCGAATTTTCAGATTTCAGTACATTTTTGTCAAGCCTCGCTCGACGTATTCTTTGAGTATTTCTTTGAATACATTTTCTTTTGGGAAAAGAACAATCTTTACCTTGTCGTTGGTCGAATGATCGGATAATTAGAGTGACGTTTGCCGGTAGTTCAGATAATAGGAGTCCAGCAGAAGTTCCGATGAATGGAGTTCTACTGCGGTGTCACGTTCCATCGCAAGCTCTTAGGTAGTCTAGTGTCTTTCCCGGTTGGTCAGCGAGCGAATCGAGGCGACGTTCCATTGGTTCTGTTTAGTTTGCGTGGTCGTCCTTCGCGTTGCATTCCGCGATCGAGATCGTTCGATTTCGTTCGTAGACGTCGGATTAGCCTGATCGTTGGTTCGGTTCCACGTGCTCGCTATCGGTGACGAGGCGAAGACACTAGAGCGGACTAGTCAGTATTTATTTTGTTACGCGGCCGTGCTTGCACAATCATCGGGAAACGGGGGCCCGTGATATCGATATCGTGAGGTTCGGAGCGCGTAAGAAGAGGGCGTGGGGCCTTAACACTTCCGGTTGTGCGGGCACGGCGAGAGCTAGATGCACTCCATGGTTGTAAATAGATTAGAGACTCGCGAACGATTGTAAATAGTATTTCACGGAGCGAGGCGAGGGAGAGAGAGAAAGAGCGAGAGTGATTAGCGAGCGAGAAAGAGAATATATACGTATACAAATATATATTAATATAAAAGTATTAAAAGACAGTCAGAGAGTAGCTGTGCACCCGCGTGAACGATTAATTAACCAGACCTAAGTTTCCCCGTTTGTATAATCGCTCGTGTAACTATTATTATTATGACGATCGCTACCAATCGAGCCGATTAATTATTATTATTTATTGTCGTTATTGTGTCTCATGCCGTGGCCGGTACGGTGATCTGTGTTTTGTAAATACGAGCCCCGGACGGTTTCGTGGTTACGGTTAGGGCCGTGATGCCGAGAGGAGAGCAGAGGAAGTCCTATGTATATTGAAGTACCGAGGAAAGAGGGAGGAAAAAGTTTGAGAAAATAAAATTACTTTACTGAAAAATTTGACGAGGAGTGGTTATTGACCCGGTCCATATTGATCCTATCCCTCGCATCCATCGCATCCCTTCGCTGAACGCGCGGAATTCCAAGTGGAACGCGACGGGAAACGCGCGATTATCGATGCCGGGAGTCGCGGATAAACGGCGAACGAATCGATAAAGAGAGAAGCGTGTTAACGATAGAGTCGAAACGGATATCGGACCAAATCGTCTCCCGACACAATTCACGTGGACACGGAATAACCACTTCTGTGTTCAAACTTTCTCTAAGGGAATGAAAAATGTACGTCGGGTGTTCCCCCTTTTCCAGAGGTCCTCCGACAAACGTGACAGGCTCTCCCGCGCAGATAAACGCGTGGTCGGGTCTCTCCGTGACAAATGAGACCCTTTTGGAAGCAACAATTCGGATTTCGTTCGAGATCAGATCTATCGTTGCCTTTGGCTCGCGGGTTAATCCCCTGATGTTACTGTTTCAAGCTTCATCAGTCAGGAATAACACGAGAGAAACCGTCGATGCCAGAGTTCGAGTCGGGAACTTCGAATTTAATAGTATAACGAGGGTAGTTTGGATCATCCCTGACTGGCTAGGATAAAGAGAACTCTAAGAACGCGTTGCAAGCACGCTTCGTTTGTTTGTTTCGATTGCGTTAAGAGTACGCTCGCTTCTAATAGTCGAGGAAAAGGTTTAGATTTGTTTGAATCGAGCCCGTAGATAATCCTGCTTGAGCTCTTTACAGACTAGTATTTATCGGAGGCGTCACTTTAAAATGGACCATTTAGAAATCAATTGAAGTTTTAATTGCACGCCAAGTCAGCTTGGACCGGCAACGTTAACTTCAATTAACCCTTTCAGTCTTCATTTGTGCCAGCAGAGGGAACGGATTTTTCAGGGCAAAACCTGAAGCGGGTGATTCGAATCAATGCTGATAGCTTAGATACTGGCCTTTTCTCGGCTATTAAAAACGAACGATTCTTTGACACTTTTCTCGATACCACCAATCAAACATTGTTTTTAAATTGAGGAATCCTTTGCACTCCGAATTATTTTATTTGAAATTTAAATACATAAAGAAAGAAACAAATTCATTTGAATATCAGTTTTGGTACATGATATTGATTTGGACACGAAAGAATATCGAGTCACACTCGACATAAGAGTGCAAAGGGTTAACATCCCGCTACACCATACAAGCGTGATCTACTGATTAAAGTAAGAAATAAACGCTTCATTTTGCTTTTGCTTAATAAATCACGTGCGACTTCCTCTCGCAAGTTTCTCTACTTTCACCTGTAGAATACGCTCCGCTAAAAGGTGTCCCCATTCAGCTCCGGAACGAGTCGCACTCGACCGAAAACAAAGCCAGAGAGGGATGAAAGGAAGCACGTAGAGGACCAGGGAAAAGGCTAGGAAAATTCGATGGAAAGATCGACGGACCATTGCGTCACCTTTGCTCTCCTACGAACGAAAAGGTCTCTAATTTCGCAAATGGGACCAGCGCGACCATCTCTCTCTCCGACGTAATTCAATTGCTCGAAGCACGTTTCTATTTCTCCCCGTGGTATCCGAGATCGACCACCGCTGAGGATTCGAACGTTATCCTTCGATGTTCCTTCCCGAAATCTCCTCCGGAGATCCCGAATACGTCTGACGGTCCGCGAGGTCCTCGTCATTTAGATCGATCCGTTACAATGAAGCTGACGCGCGCATCCTGTGCGGGATAATCGAATAAATTGGCAATCTGTGTCACCCGGAAGTCTAGCGATTTAATATCCACCTGTTGTCGCCTCGATTACGTGGCTCGATCGATGTCGCGACGCGTCGTTTAACATCCAGGCCACGGGTGCGCGAATCGACGCTGGCCTGGCGCGAAATCGAGAGTCTTCCAGGAGCCTTTTCATAAAAAGCCTCGCCTCGGTGTAACCTCGATCGTAGAATCCCAAGCTTTACCTCGGGAATTCTTTCGTCGTCCAAACGTTAGATTTCCGGCCTCGTTGAAGCCTGCTTTCGGTCCCCGGAGCGCAATATGAGCCAATAAACCTCCAATCTTGAGTTTGGCCCGTGCATCGATTCGTCGTCCCACCTGTTGTTGGCTCGATTACGGGCCTCTAATCCGCATCCTGGCACGTCGTTAGGCCACGAAACCGCGGTAGCTTCCCGACAGCAGCAACGTAACACCGATGCCCGGCGGGGAAAGGAGAGATCGGACTTAGGAACCTAATGCAATTGCCGCTCGTAACTAACAATTAACAGGTTACGGTAACGTGCTGTGGCCACGGCATCGCCTGGCTAGCGTGCACGATGCGCCAGCGTGGCCTGAAGGGTGGTCGATCTTCGTTTCGAGGAGCATGCGCGATCCAGGCCCACGATGGATCCATCGCAACCGTGGGACCTCGTTACGTAGGTCGGATATCCG